CAATAAAAAGGAATTGCTTCTGTAATTCAACAATGGGTTTATCAAAACACTCTAAATGAAACTCTCTGGCAGAGGCTGGTTTTAACCATCTGATGAAAGGTGTTACAAAGTTTGGAGATCAACTATTTTATTTTTTTTTTTTGAAGTGGGCCATTAAAAGCCACCTGTCAGACTGAAGCACAAGCATTTATAATGACCTGATCTCTGGTTCCCAAGTCCACTCCGAACCTTCTTGCAGAAAAGCAGCTTGGATCTGCAACAAGAGCGTTCGGAAACCACACAAGAGGCAGGCGTGCTGCAGAAGTGGAGAAGGACAGGAGATGTGAGCTCTTCTTAGGTCTCCCCATGAAAATTCAACTAGATGAAGCCAGCCAGCTTCTCCTAAACTCCTTTGCGCCATGGTAGCGCCTACATAGGTCATGTCGAAACACTAGCGGGCTCACGGCAAGGCTGGCTGCGGGTGAGATCCGCAATCGAGATAGCCGTTAAGTTGCTGGTTGATTTACCCATGTCTTTTCCTCCACATCTGCGGAATACGGTCCCCGGGCTCCACCGCCGGGTCGCTCTGTATCTCGCAGAGGGCACGGTATGCCCTTCACTCCCGGCTGACCTCTTGCTTGCATCAAATTCATCATTCCCGTCACTCGGCATGTGAGTCATTTCATCAGGCTGCGCTTTGTCTCTTGGCCTGGCGAGCACACGCTTGGAGATGAGATGCGGTATGAGTCACAGTTTAAAAAGCAGGTGCCTGAACTGGTGCTGTCAAAAATAAATGTGCAGGACTTGATTCTTTATGCTGTTTTTTGCTGTTATTAACTGCAGCTTGTCTCAGGAAAACGGCTAGTTCTGATGGACAATAGACCCATTTTTTCCCCTTTTAGATTTAAGATCAAGATTAGCTGCAACAAGATGATCTTGTGCTTAATTCCTTCCAAATTGGCTTGCAACTGCCTGACAGATTTGGGAGGCATCGTTACAGAAAGCATACTTCCTTGCTTTGCGCGGTTAATGGAAACAAAGTTCCCCGTGCCGTGAAATGTTAACAATTGTTAGTAATGCTCAGCTTTTCTGAGCAGGTTGACGAGGGAAGGAAGGAGGCTCAGAGGTATGTCCTCTGCCCTCAACTGTCCATGGTACATCACATACATTAAAAATTCACTGCAGCATGACGGTCAGACTCATCCCCATAGAATAACACTGAATTTTAGGTGTTGGTGTGGCGGGGGTCTGCTGTCACTTGCTGGGGGACAGCACTGGCTGCCTGTTTGGGCCACCAGTGACACCTGCGTAGGAGCTCCTCGTGGTTCAGAGTGGAATCAGGAGAGCAGAAAGGAGGAAAACATGTGACCTTGAGGAACAAAATAAAAATAAAAACGCCATGGAACGGCAAAGATCATGCCCGCAGGGACTCGTAATGAGAGTTTCTGCTGCACACTCAGGGTTCATTAGTTGGAAAGGGCAGAGGAGGAGAAAGGGTCCTGCTTGGGGCTGAGAGAAGAGCTAAATTACCCTCAAAGTCCCTTCAGCTCTGTGACTGAGAGATGTATAATGTATAACTTCTATTCCTTACCATTTTATGATGTGCAGGAGAATCAGGGTGCGTTTGATACCATTACAGAGGCCCTTGTCAAAGCCTAAAACGTTTCTCAGGTCACCCAGGGTCCACAGCAGCAGACAGGATGCAGAGGGGAGCTGTTGGGAGAGCTGGAGAAGGGAGCGTTTGTGTTCAGAGAAGAAATTCAGAGCGTTGTTCGTTCAGATGAGCCAAACGAAAGCCAAGATGTGCAGTAGGCTAAAGCCCAGGGAGAGGGTTAAGGCGCAGAACAACATCAGATGGATGAATAAATTTAGGTGGGAAGGAATTGAGGTTAGAAGAAAGTTTCTGGTGTCAGAGATCCAGGAGCTAGGAGCCTCTGGTAAGGTCTCACAGAGTTGATGGCACAAGCTGAAAGTGTAACAACTTTTAAAGCAGAGCATTGCACTTTTATGTGCATCAGCGAAGAGCTGGATTCGGTGACCGTGAGAAGCATTTTCCAGCCTCCCGTTTCTGTGTGTTGGTTGGAGTATGACGAGCATGCTGCTGAGCATCCCCGTGACATTACAAAGCATATCAGAGTTGGACGGAACAATTTATGTTGGGGAAGGAACAGAGTTGCAGATTTTTTTTTATTAGAATCATAGAATCATGGCATGGTTTGGGTTGGAAGGGACCTTTAAAGGCCATCTAGTCCAACGCCCCTGCAGTGAGCCGGGATATCTTCAACTAGACCAGGCTGCTCAGAGCCCCGTCCAACCTGACCTTGAATGTTTCCAGGGATGGGGCATCTACCACCTCTCTGGGCAACCTGTGCCAGTGTTTCACCACCCTCTTCGTAAAAAATTACTCTTTATATCTAGTCTGAGTATCTTTTAGTTTAAAACCATTGTTCCTTGTCCTGTTGCTACAGGCCCTATTCAAAAGTCTATGCCCATCTTCCCTGTAGGACCCTGTAGGGACTGGAAGGGGCTCTAAGGTTTCCCCGGAGCCTTCTCTTCTCCAGGCTGAACCACCCCAACTCTCTCAGCCTGTCTCCATAGCAGAGGTGCTCCAGCCCTCGGATCACCTTCGTGGCCGTTAGTGCAGTAGGAGTTAAAAGCAAATACATTACAAAGGTATTAGATAATCTCTTCTTGGCTTGTTCAGTTGCTCCTTCATCCTTCTCTTCCTCCCGCTACTTCTCTGCTTGGTCTTTGCTGCTCATCTCAACGCTGAGGATGAGCGTGAGCGCTCGCTGTAACACCCAAGCGCCATTCTCCAACCTCTGGGATTCAACAGGACTGTTTTATTAACAGTGGAATAAGTAAGGTACTTGGCTCTCTCCAAAAGAAAATAAACTTTGTGCTCGGTGCATGCTCCCACTCGTACGCCAGAAGTCCGTGGGCTGTATTTCTGCAGTTGCCGTCTCTGTGCTCTCTCCATTACCTCTGGTAATTGAGTCGCCTGTGGGATATAGCACCAGGGTATGCTTGGTTGCTTTGTGGGAAAAGCATTAGTTGGAGTTTGATCCCTTTGGTGGGGGTGGGGAGAAGATGAAGAAATCTGCAGTCATAAACCAGGCAGACGGCAGCCTACGTCGTTAGAGCCTGTAGAATACGTATTTATCTACCTTGCACAGACTAAGAAATTGTTGTTGCAATCATTACAGTAAATATGAGATATGAAAACAGTTTTAAGTTTCATTTTGCTTGCCGTCATCTCTTTTTTTTTTCTTTTTTTATTGAGCAGCAGTAATTTAATAGCATTGTTTGACTCCTGTTTGGTTTTTCCAGCGTCTTGCATTGTGTTGAGTTCCTGTTGAACACTTAAGTACAGTAGTACAATTTTATGCCTAATAGAAAAAGCAATAATTATTTCATTAGTACCAGGGCAGAATTTTTCCACTAAACAAGAAATCAGAAAGCACTGAGCGTATCAGGTAAAAATAGTGTTTCTCAGCTCTTTTTGCTTACGTGGAACAAAAGAACGCACTCTCTTGTACCTGCACTCACAGGCGTAGACTTTTGTCCTCATCTTACTCTTGTGCCATACCACAATAACGCAGATCGCATGGGATTGTGTGTGGGATCAGGGCCCGGCTCAGGTAAAAACCTATTTTAGTTTCTGGACTGTGCTGTTGCATTTTGTCTTTTGGACGACAAATTGTAATTAGCTGTCGATCATTCAAATACAATCTTTACAGGAGTAGAGCGGGAGGGTGATGTTCAAAGCCACTGAGGGTCAGCAAAGGATCCAGTCCCCTGCTCCTCTAGGGTGGGAGAAAGCTGGCTGCCCATTATATCTTCATCGCTATCAGTTCACGTTTTATCTGAAAACTTCATTTCACGTCCGTGTTTGCAACATAAGTGTGAAATATTCGTATTCAGTAAAGCATGTTAAGAGTAGCCTGTCTTAGGATACTACAGGTCACTGAAATGAGATCTAGAGCCAAGGTGACAAACGTGTCCTCTGCTCTACCGAATTTGCTGCTTTTCAGTTTAAAAAAGGACAGTGCAATCCAATGGCGAAAGCTGGAGAGGGACTGGTGACAAGGGCAGGGAGTGACAGGCCAAGGGGAATGGCCTGAAGCTGCAGGAGGGGAGATGGAGATGAGATGGGAGGCAGAAATCCTTCCCTGTGAGGGTGCTGAGGCCCTGGCCCAGGTTGCCCAGAGAAGCTGTGGCTGCCCCTGGCTCCCTGGCAGTGGTCAAGGCCAGGTTGGATGGGGCTTTGGGCAACCTGGGCTAGTGGAGGGGGTACCCGGCCATGGCAGGGGGTGGCACTGGATGGGCTGTGAGGTCCCTGCCCACCCAAACCAGTCTGGGATTCTGTGAATAGACTTTCTAAAGCCCTTTCAGCTCCCCGAGCAACCAGCCACCTAAGAACATAGTCCAGAGCGGTCTAGAAAACCACTGGAAAACAAACACGACCCCTTGGGAAAGAACAGAAATAAAAGACAAAATTGGGGGAATGCAGCTGAAAGCCAACAACAGTGAAATAGAGCACGGTTTGGGGGTAAATGTTCTTTACCGTGTTCGTGCGTACAGTGCCGTGAAGGTGTTACGTGGAGTTAAACTCTGGAAATAGAAGTTGAAGCACGAAATGGCAGTGGTCAGACGTGCCGGTATCCGTGATATGCTGCTGATGGGTTCGAAGGAAAAAAACCCTCAATCTGGTTGTTTAACGTAAGCTGCTCCTGTGTTATTGAACTTAGGGAGAAATACAAGCCGTGTGCTCTGCTTGACTTTTTAATAGCTAGGTTTTTATTAAGCAAACGTGGTTTTTTGCGATGACTAGGGTTTTGATTGTTACTATCGTTGGTTTTAGCTTTGCTGGCTACGTGCTGGAAATTTGCCAAGCGCAGAAACACGGTTCATGCCCTGAAGCTTGTACGATCTGGAAAAAAAGACGACGCTGGGGAAAGAGGGAGGGTGTAACACACTGTATAACATTTGTTTTCTCCTCTTCCTTCTCCTCGCTGCAGACTGTACCAAAGCCAATAGCCCTGGAGCCCTGCTTTGGGAACAAAGCGGCCGTTCTCTCTGTATTCGTGAGGTTGCCTCGAGGACTTGGGGGTATACCACCACCAGGACAGTCAGGTGAGGAATATCGTTGTCTCTGCTGGTTTGGTTTGAGCTCCGCGCTCCTTCCCCAACTTTACAGAGTCACCTTACGGTTTCAGCCTTGAGCCCGTAGTAATTGCTGTATCCACACCGCAGCCGAGGATGCGCTGGGGTTATTTTAAGCTAGCTAGCTTGGGCCCTGCTGGCTTCCGACCTGAGGGTCGATGCAATTTCTTGGGTCAGGTAATGGATGAACATTGGATATTTGCGCTACGCTTTCATTTATGGCTGGGGAAAACAGGGCATCTGGTATAGACGGGTTTGCAGTAGTTACTTATGAAAGCAACTTGTCTCGCAGCCTATTCCCCGTCATTCCCAGCTCCATTTGTAGAGATATCAAGTCCTTTCAGAGCATCCATGCCTTCCTCTTCGCAGCTCTGGACAGAGTTTTCTCCATCCAGCTTAAATTTTCCTTGTTCTCAGCCCTTTCTCACCTACACCTGCTTGCAGGGCACTGAGACATCATCTCCTGGGCAGATTGTGATTTAACTGGGGTTTCTCCAGTGCCCAGGGAGCACGGTGAAGGAGAGGATCGTAAAGGAGTATTAGCTGGGTTTGGGACGGGATGGTTGGGTTGTGTGAGCTGTGTTGAGCTAAATCCCAGATGGCCAACGGTGGTTTGTCTGTGGATCTGCCAAGAGGAGGTTGCAGAGATGACGGATGTCCGGGAAGGGCAGTGAAACCTCCGTGCACATGTGCTTTCAGGATTTATTCTAGCACATCTACTGGTGCAGAGAAAGACACCCCTCTAATATTATGGGTTTCACATCCGTTATCCATTCTTATTTTTCTGCTGCAGTTGCTTTCAATAAAACATGCAGTATTTAAAAGCTTATTTCAGAAGAGCCGCTAGAGCTGAATCTCTTAAGCCAAAATGCTTTTCTAGTTTGCTTTTTTTAAGAAGAACTCAAAAAAAAAAATGATACGCATTTTGTGGCTTGGAGGGTTTTTCTCAGCTGCGGCGGAAGGATTCATTTCTGTGACTATTTTGTTCCGTGACTATTTTGTTCTGTTGCCTCAGGTCTTGCAGTGGCCAGCGCGCTGGTGGACATTTCGCAACAGATGCCAATTGCCTACAAAGAGAAATCGGGTGCAATCCGAAATCGGAAACAGCAGCCCCCTGCACAGCCAGGAACCTGTATTTGATGCATGGACATCAGAAACTGTATAGGGTTTTAAACAAAACGGAAAAGTAATACCTAGAAGGAGGAGAAAGATTGCCGAGTTGTGTCACAAGAGACTAGAAGCGCTCAGAAAAACACAACTTCCTTGAACCCAAGTTTTTCTCTCATCTACGTGATAGTTGGCTTTGTTTGACAACTGCTCCACTTAAGTTTTACTGACACGTGGCTTCAGATTGCTCCTTTGTTTTCTTCGAGTTTAAAGTTAAAATAATTTTATTGCAGGTCCAGTAACATCCGATCGCCGCCATTCATGGTCAGTGTAAATAGAACAGTAGTCCAATATGAATGACACTCAGGTTTATACATGGAAAGTGCTTTGTAGTTCATGTATTTATCAAACTGTACAAAAAGAAAAAGATGCAGTGTTTACAGGTGTCAGCTCTCAACACATAAACACTACTATTAATCTTCAAAGCATCTTCATCCTTTGTTTTCATTTAATATTGTATGTTTATTCCCTCATTATTTAAGTGGAACTCTCTTACAGATACAGCATTTTTGTAGTCATCCTGGTCCAGAACATCAGGAACGCAAAAGCTGGGATGGTTTAAAGGTTGATGTCGTGTGTTGCTCAGCCCACGTGCAATACCTGCAGAGGTTGAATGTCGCTTTTGAAGGACTCAGTGTTTACATAGTCTTAACCTGCTCGGAGTACACCACACACAAGTGCCTAGACTTGAACAGATCTAGGGAGTGAGGAGACTTTCTTTTTAACATCATTATATTCCTTTTAAATATATACACACGCACACATATATAGTCACCCAAGGCAATCTGTGTTCTTTGTAATATATCACATGCAGTCAGGGGAAAATGGCATTTTCCTGACCAACAGACTACTCAACCAGATGGAAATATCTGGAGGGAAAGTAGAGTTTCGGTATCTCGTAAGAAAACTCCTGGTTTCACCTTGCTTTTAACAGAAGCAGTTTGTGTTCCAGGTCAGCTATGTTGTATTTCTTCCCGTTTTCTCTGCCCGTTTGGCCTCTTCCCCTCCCCATTCCCTCCTGCCGTTCTTCTGGACGAGAGCTGAGCTGTGCCAGGGCTCAGAGGCATCGCTCCTCAGCAGTAAGATCTCCGTACAGGGGGTAAAAAGCAACACTCCGGCTGCCGGATCATTGGAGGAGGAAGTAAAATAGAACTTTAAATAAAAAGCAAGCAGAGCAGCTTCGGTTGGCCACAGGTTTGCGTTTTACCTGATCAGTTACTGATATTTCCCATTTGAGTCAAACTCTCTTAGATGTTGAAGAAGGTGGCTTCTTGGTGAAAGGGAGGGACTTGCCAACAGCAGAGAGAAGGTTTGGCTTTTGGGGGATGTATCAAACCACCCGAAGTACGCTGCCTAGTTGGGATTCTGTTCTTGAGGTTCAAGGTTGGACATAACCCATCAGTGTCTGCACGCTGGTGCCCCAGGTCTCGCTCGATTCTGGCACGTGGCGCAGTGCCGGGGTCACGCGAGGTTGCGATGGTGGAGCTGGTTGGAAGATGTTACGTGAAGGTGCCAAACGAGGCGTGTAATTGTTGTTTAATCACAGTAAGCGCGGTTTCATTCAGGTCGCCGAGCGGCTGGTTTCTGATGAGGACGTCTGGTATTTATGAAATGGAGGAGTAACAAATCGAGGGGACTGAAGGACACTGCTCTTCAACCTTCTGGCGAGGTAGCGCCCTTTTCCAGAATGAAACCCACGTAACTGCATCTTTTTTTTTTGTGCACGTTTTGATGATCGACCACATATCAGCCACTTGTTCCTTTTTCTTTTTTGTTTTTTCCCCTTTTAATTTTTTAACTGCTTTGGAGAAGCTCTTTGGAGCACGGCATCATCGCCGTAAAGATGTGAGTTGCTATGCGTGTCCAGGCAGCAGTGACGGGGAACAATCTGCTGGTTTAAAGACTGGGGTGGATTATAAATCTGATTTAATGTGTCATTTAATGAATACAACAGAACTGCAGAAAAAATGTTGGGGGGGGGGAAATGCATTT